TTTTCATGCTAGCACTTCAGCATCTCCTATTCGGGACAGCCCTGGGTGTGTGTTCACAGTGCTGGTGTGGGTTCACATGAGGGTCAGGCCCTGTCAGACAGAAGCCCCCTCTTCCTGTCAGACCTCCCTGACATCCGCACTCCATTCCTCATCTGCCTCATGTTTCTTCCCAGAGTTGTTTCCCTCTTTCCACCCCTCCTTCCTCTCTCTCCCGGAGTCTAACTGCCTCCTCAGTGGCCCTCGGAATCCCTGCCGTGTCAGGCAATCCTTCTCGCTCAGTGTCAACATCACCAATGCTCCTGGGATGCTGTGAGGGGGAGAAGCCACTTGTTTCAACCAACCCACCCTCTACATTTATCTCAGCCCCATTCCCTGGACCATCCTTCAATCCTCCCCTGCTCCATAAAAACATCTCATTATCTCCTAAACTCACATTTGTTCATGTGTTCTGCCTTAGCTGCTTACATCTGAGATCTGTCTGTCTGAGGCTTCCACTCCTAGCTGGCTGATCTTCAGATTGTGCTGAAAGGCACTGACTTTGCAGTCTCGATCCTCGGGAGCGTGTCCCTATCCCCTCACCAGTCTCTGAATCCCGTTCTTCAGGAGGGCATGACTGTGGATGGCTGTCTGCTGGCTGGTCTGGGGGGCTTCCAGCCCTCTCAGAGACCGCCCTTCCTGTGCTGTCTGGCTCTTTCTTTCCTTCCCAATGTCAGTCTGAAAACTAACAGAATCATGATTTTGCTTGAAAAATCGAGAAAAGCCCAGAGCCCTCCAGTGAAGCTGCTGCTTTCTCCTCAATGCAAGGAATTGAGCCAGATGCGGTCATTGTCATCTTGAGCATTTCCGTGGATTTATTAAGTCTTGCACAGAGTTTCAATCACTTGATAAATAGACTAGAAGCAAAGACCTGCCTGAAAAGGGCCAAGGGCTTCAATGTTTTCTTAGGGATCAGTTTCCCTTACTGTGGTTCTTATACATTCACCTGTGAGAAATTCCTACAAGCCACTCTGCCTGCTGGGAGGCTTGAAGAAAAGTGCCCCGGTTGATAACCACTGTTTTACACATACACACACCTGTTAGCCCAAGAGCAGAGGTGCAAACATCCAGCAGGGAGAACACGCTTCTAGGAGTCATTGCCTTTGCCCTTCAGCACCCAAGAGAGCTAAGCAAGATGTGGGAATTCCTGCTGCCGGCTCACAGGGACTAAATCCTCTCCAAAGCCATAACATTTCAGTGTGTGGGTGTCAGGGAGGTAGAGGCCTATTGTTGAGATGTGAACCGAATGAGGCACAAGGACTAAACATGCAGGTGTGACCATGCGCCACACCTTACCGTACCTGGGGAGGTCTCCCCTGCTTGTGGCAAGTCACTGACAGGATGGGCAGACTGCGTTTGAAAATAAACCTCATGGGTGGATTCGCCTGGGCTAACTCGTACAGTTCTTCTGACTGCATTCAGCATGAATGTCCTGACCCACAGCCCCATGGACCATCACGGCAGGGCCAGGGGCTGTCTGTGCTGGCCATTCTGGAAAGGCTCAGTGCAGTCTCAGGAATTTCAAGTACAAATCCCATCAGTCACTTTTCAGCAAGTATCTATGAGCTCACCTTTCAAGTCCTTGCTACGTAAAGTATGGGCCACAGGGTGGGAATCGCCTGGGAGCGTGTTAGAAATGCACAGTCTCGGGCTCTGCCCCAGAACTGCTGAATCTGAGTCTGCACTTAACCAACTCCTCGGGGAATGTCTAGGACTATTAAGGTTGAGAAGCCCTGATGCTAGTAACTCAGGAAAGGGTAAAGGTCTGTTCCTTCCCTCTGGAAGCTCACACTCTGGTTGGGAAGACATGACTCAGAGATATGAAACAAAGGAGCAAGTCAAATCATCAAGCACGTTTCAGAAGGAAATTTGAGTGCAGAACACCGGGACCAAGGCCTGCCTCAGCCACTTACTGTCACTGAACCTCAGCTGTCTCGGCTGTAAAGTGGGAATAATACTTGTTCTGTCCAGCTTACAGATTGTCCCAGATGGGAAAACAATACAGCCCTATGTGCAAACTAACATTACATACTCTGAGGGCTACAGAAGTTGAGAGATGAGGGCTAGGGATAACTAGAATGGTCTGAAAAGATCCTTGGGGGACAGAAAAGGGGGGCTCGAGGTAACCTTTTAAAAATATTGAATCATACCCTGAAACTGGCATTATAGTAAAAATGGAAAAATGCGCATTTTGACAACTGCACCTAATACAGTCTCTAGCCCAGGCTAAATATAGAGCTTCTACTGACCAACTCTCATCCTGACAACCTGCTAACGATCAACACCATGGGTCTCAGAAACACACACTCAGTGCCACCAGGTGTTTTACTGGAGACAGGAAGCAGGTAGAGGCAGTCTCTCTGGGGAGGCTGGCAAGAGCCCTATGGCTACAAACCTTAACTCTGGTTTGGGGCATATAGAAGTGGAGCTGCTTGTTATTTTGCAGAGCTGATCTGTGAAGATGCCTGGACACTGCACGGCAATGCCTGGGGGAGTGGGAGGTAAAGAAAATCAGCAGGTGGATAATCGGTTTCCTCGGTAATATTTCCTATGCCTTTGCTGTGTACTAGATGTTTTCATACCTTCCCACCTCCCAACCCCCCATTTAATCCTCACTCTGACCCTAAGAACCTTATGAAGCAGGGAATTCTTTTGTCCCTACATCACAGATGAGGAAACTGGGAATTTAGGGTTAGAACTCAGGTTGGTCTGCTTTCCAGAGCCCATGACCTTAACTGCAAGCTACACTGCTAGGGGAGTGTGAGAATTTCTGGTCTTCCTCGTGCCGTTGAAACAATGTGACTTTGCTTTTGTTGCGAAACCTGGCTCCCTTGGACTCGCTGACGTTTGCCATGCTTGTCCTGAGCTTCTCCAGAGAAACGCTGTCTTCTGACAGGAAAAGATAAAAAGGGCTGATACAGATGAGTCACCGCACTCGCTATAATTAACAGTGATGCAAGAGCCAGATGCAAACTAAGAGGGGCCCCAGGACCTGCCTTTTAAGAGGCCAGAACTTTGAGCTGCACTTCAATGCAGAAAGAGTCTCCGTGGCTCAGCCACAGGCTGCTCAATATACATTTAAAAGGGAGAAATGAAACCGGGAATGCCTGCAAGCTCCAAGATACTGGAGCAGAGAAGGCGACACCAAATTAATCTCCTTATTTACAACTGAAAAACCATACACCAGAACCGGAAAGAGAGTTTATAGTTTATAGATAATGTAGATCTTGGCTTTCACACTTGGCCGCCCTGGAGCGTCTAAGTGGTTTTCAACCTGCTGAGCTGATTTACGGCAACGATAGCTGTAAATTCACTTGTAGTAGGTGTTCAGCTTATACCCTCCTGATGGTAGTGTGTAATTGTGAACTTTTCAAAAAAGACTCATAATCGTTAGTATCTCTCTATTCTCTTTTGCTGACCTGGAAAAAGAAGTGATGCAATGATAGCCTGATTAAAATGACCCCTAAAACACAATCCCCACCATGCTGTCCACAAGCCCGTTCAGCCAGCTCCCACGCAGTCCCTTTAAGATGCGAGCAGAAGAGGGGCCTCTCTGGCTGCTCCTCTGAGGAATAACTGCCTCCTGAGTTCCCACAGGAGGAAATAAATAGTGGTCAGGACCTGGGACAGGCTCAACTAGTGGTCATCGATGTCGGCGGTATCTTCTTACCTATTTAAAAGAGGCTCAAAGGTTTGAGCTCAATAGGGCCGATAGAATCTTGCCACTTTCCTTTTGAATAGACTTTAATTGAGAGCGAAGTGAAAAATGCAGGTTACATTTTTAGTGTTATCCATACGTTGTAAGATCAACACCGAGACAGTGATGCATCTAACGTTTATACATTTCCTAACTTTAGTTGTCAAAGAGCAAATCATTATCAGATAGATATATTTACACAATAATTTCAAGCAACAGTAAATAATAAACTCCCTCCCTTAAAAATCCGAAAAAAAATCACACACATCCAATTACCTTTAAACAATGGATTTCCTCACCCTAGTAAGTATCATTTTTTGCACATATACTTGTAGATCCAAAGTTACTTAAGTTACTTAGGAACAGTCTTATCAGTGAGATCTCAGATCAGCCCTATTTCTTTTTGAGTCGCTTTAATTTTTACAACTTGAAGCCACATAACCAGCGTGGCCTGTACACTGGAAGGACTCTAAGGACACCCCACATGATAAAAATGAATTCCACTTCCTTTGTGGAGATATGTACATCTCTGAAGACGCATATGACTACAATTCAAAAAGTCAAAAATGAACACAAAACCAAAATCTCAGATCTTCAAACACAGTGTCTTAAGAGCATTGTGTTAATGTTAACATTGAATTAACTGAAGGGTAATATTTTTTCATACTTCTCTACAGAGTTGCTAGTTAGTTCTGATTCTTTTTTCAGCTGCTTGAAACACATGAGCTTTAAAAATTGCCTGGCAGCGCACAGCAGCCTGCCTAACCTCTGCACTGTCGGACGGGTCTCACCCCCAGGGCCCTGCTCTCTGATTTATTTCTTGCTATAGCTGTTAGTAAATGGAAACCATGACAAAGTTTACATTAGCAGACACATACACATGCCCTGGCCTATAAATATTCTATGATGGAAAATGGTACAATGACTCCATTCCCAGTGAAAATGAGCGTAAAAGAAGAGGGTGGGGAACCTTCTCAACAATGGCTCTTCTTACACTGGGAAATCCAGACCAAACGGCGATGGATGTTGTTGGCCACCTCTCCGGGGCCTGGTGAGTCAACTACAAGTTGGCAGAGTGGAGGCCACCTTCTCCGGGGAAACCTGGTGGGGTCCAGTAGTACACGCATCTTGTCTTGGAAGCTGGATGAAGGCGAACTGCCATTTCCTTCTTAGAGAGGTGAGTGAGGAGGGATTTTTAAAGTCAGATTGGAAAGTAGTTCCCACACTGTCCTGCCTGGGACACAGCTCTGTCCCTGGGTTGGACCCCTCAAAGTGCCAGCTGGAGCTTGGTCATGTTTCTCTGGTGCATGTTGTGATGGCGGACTAATTCGTCTGACCGGGCGAACTTTTTCTGACAACTGGGCCACCGACAGCTGAAGGGCTTTTCACCTGTTGACACAATTGCCAGTCAGATACTTGCAGCGGAAAAGATGGTATATGTTTAACTCTCAAAGGCCCGAGTTAATGCCACAAGGCACCCACTCCAGATTCCTTCTAGTTTTGTCCCTAAGCTAATGCACAAGGCTTACTTCGGGGGCAGCTCTGAGATGGCAGCACTTCTGAGGCCTTAAAATGTTGTAACAAATTATAAAATACTAGAGGTCTGGTGCACGAAATTTGTGCACTTGCGGGGGCGGGGGTCCCTCAGCCTGGCCCATGCCCTCTCACAGTCCAGGAGCCCTCGGGGGATGTCCGACTGCCTCGGAGGCTGGAGAGGCTCCTGCCACCACCGCTGCACTCGCCAGCCGTGAACCCAGCTTCTGGCTGAGTGGCATTCCCCCTGTGGGAGCACACTGACCACCAGGGGGCAGCTCCTGAATTGAGTGTCTGCCCCCTGGTGGTCAGTGCACGTCATAGTGACTGGTCAATCTATTTGCATATTAGCCTTTTATTATATAGGATTACTAAGTCAGAAGACTTGGGAAATGAGAGACTATGAATGGAAATGTCTGGGTAATCATATAAAATGAAGGGGTGGGGGGACACTTATTTCAACCTCTCCCATTAGACTGTCTTATGAACTGTGTAAGTAGGGCATTGAACTTACCTGGGCTGCAAGGGCCTCAGGATTGTCACCCTAGATGTTACTTATTAATCACCATCCAGCAGTAGAGCTGTGACTGCAGCTTTCCTATCTCTGTATAGATAAAGATTCTGGACAGGCTGAGTATTTTTAAATAAGTCACTGATACTAGTATTTTTAAATAAGTATTTTAAATAAGTAACTGATACTAGTCACTGATACATGGTATTTTTTTCTATTTCCTTAAAGTGTAACTCAGAGCATAATTCTGTTACACAGAAAATTCTAGTTGAAGCATAGTTTAAGAGATTTTTAACAAGTCTGCCAAAAGATCAAGCCTTCTCCACCTAAGGTGTCCTCAGAAATTCTTTCCAAGCCTCATTCTGTACAGGGAAGATAATTAGCATTTATCAAGTGCCTAATGTATGCCAAGCTTTTTGCTGGCCATCATCTATATATATAAAAGCCTAAACAACTGTTAAAACCGAACAACCGGAATGACTGGAACAACCGGTTGACCAGTCACTATGATGCACACTGACTACCAGAGGGCAGACGCATAATGGAGGAGCTGCCCCCTGGTGGTCAGTGCACTCCCACAGCCAACCTCCCGAGGCCTCTCCCTTGGCCAGCCTGCCCCAATCGCCCTGATCAGAACCTCCTGCGGCCCCAATCAGGACTGGGTGAGATGCTCCCATTGGCCCCAATTGCCAGCCAGGTCAAGGGACCCCCACCCGTGCATGAATTCATGCACTGGGCCTCTAATATATATAACCTAGATCACAAGCCATATATATATATACGGCTTGCCACATGTACTCTTAGAACAGCTCTGTAAGGGAAGTGTTGTTATCCCCACTCTACAGATGATGGTGGACTTCTGGGCAAGGCAGACCCAGGCAAGACTCCAATTCAGGTCAGTCTAATTTCAAAAACTGTGCACTTTGCTGTATCCCACCTCCTGGGCCTAGCTATATTGCAAATATACCTATGACTTAATGCTAAGTACAAATGCCACAGAAGCCAATCCCTTGTACCACCTTGGGGATCCTTTCTCGATATCGTTGGTCCTACTTTGCCTTTTCTGGGAGCTACTGGTCAGGACAAGCACTGAGAAATGTCCTAGGGGAGGTGCTGACCCAGGGTCAGAGCTGGGGGCCCATCAAGCATTAAATAGTCTACTGGTAACCTAGATCACCAGCACACATGCAGATATGCACAGATTTGGGGGTTAGGGTACAAGGAATAGAAACTCTTTCCCACCAAATTATGAGCTCATGACTAAGGCAAAGAAGCAACACCAAAGGCATCCAAGTAGGGCCAACGAGATGCCCATCCCACCAACTCTGGGGTACAGGTGCCTTGACTCTGTAAGTGCAGCATGTTTGGGTTGAAAATCCAGGACTGCACGAGGGGCTTATGACATCATGCCTTCCTTTACCTCCTGCTCACTGTTCCTCTGCTCTTTCTAATCTGGCTCCTGCTCCCAGTCCCCACCCCGAGCCATGCAGCCAAAGTCCTGTCCAACCCTTTCTCTTGCTGTCTTCATTCTCCTCAGTCTATCAATGGTATTCAACTCAGCTGACTTTCTACTTGATTCTCTTTCCTCCATGGGCTGTGACATAAAATCCAATCCCCCCAAACCTTTCTCCAACAAAGAAGGCATATGGTGGGCTGGGAGCAGATAAAACTGGGTTTGCTACTTACTAGCTTTAGGACTTTACACAAGTCATTTAATCACTATGTGCCTCAGTCTCCTCATCTGTAAAATGGGGATAAAACATGCCTGCCTACTCTTCTTACAAGGATGATGTTAAGATAAAGTAAGATAACCTAGACATTGGCCCTCCTTCCAAAGCTATAAAATACACAAGATGGTGCCATTTTCATTATGAATCACACCAGCCTTACAGAGAAGCAAAAGCCTTCAACAGCCAGTGAATAAATGCTCGATTCCCCTTCTCTAGACTAGTACAAAGGAAATAATATCCACACGCTGATGTGAGTCTGGCAGAAACCATGGCAGCTCCTGGGGCACTAACTTTTAGCAGAGAAAGAATTCAGATCTCTGAAAATAGTGTTATGAAACATCAACTTTCAGAGAATAAATGTTTAGCTTGCTAGATTTGGGCTTGCTAGAATTTCTGTTGTTCTTCTGTGAGGTTGATTATCCTATCAAGCTGAGTGATAAAAAAAATATGATGAAACAAATTGGGAACAGAGGGACCTACGTTATCTCTTCATTTTTATTTTGGACACTCATGAAAAGTTCTTTTCACATCTCTCTTCTATTCTGTATCAATCCCCCGCCCCTTCCTAAACAATGTTGTTTAAAATAGCCATAGAATGTTCTTTCTCTCATCTGAGTCTAAACCTGTTTAGAACCATTTTTACACTAGTCTTGTCCAATCTCTCTCATCATAAACAACTTCATTCAAACAGTAGTTTAAAAAATAATGAAAAATAAATGTGAAGAAAAGTTTACGCACTTGTTTTACCTGTATGAGTCCTGGTGTGGGTCTTCAGGTGGTCGGACCGGGAGAACTTTCGCTGACAAGTTTTACACTGGAATGGTTTCACACCTAGACGGACAGAGAAGGTCTAACCGCAGCCCTAACAATGTGGGGCATGACGAGGCCCACAAGGCCTGCTTCCCGGAGGCCGGAGGAGCCGGGCATTTCCAGCCACGCCTGCAGCATCTGCCTCACCCTCAGATTTCCCCCAGGCCCAGCATGAACCACCCGATTCTGTGCATAACCCTGAAGACCTGCTTCTGCTCTTGGAAACAAGTATTCTTTAACCACAGATGTCCAGCTTCTGACCAAGGTCTCAACTGTGTCCAAGACTGAAAAAGAGGATCATACACTACAGATGGGATTCTGATCTCCACCACCCATGATCTTTACCGGTGCTCGGTGTATCATCAGCAAGTAGCTAGTGGAACCTCATTGTTCTGTGGCCTGCATGATAAATATGGGGTGCTTCTTTCTCTTTCCTCCCTTTCTTTCTTTTATTTTTTTAAGAGAAGGAAAATACCCAGCAATTAGAAAAAAAATTAGAAAAATGAAACAAATGGCTGACCCTCTCACATCCATATTTAACAACAAAGAGAATCACAACATCAACTGTAATGCAAGAGAGCACACTGCCGGCAATGAGAAGTGAACCTACAAACCTGTGTGTCTCCTTTGGTGTCTTTTGAGCTGGTCTGAACGAGAAAACCTTCGCTCACAGTCCTTGAAGTCACACTGGTATGGTTTCTCACCTTGGAGGAAGACACAGACTCCATTTGAAAATGATACTGGAAGTGGGGATCTCATTAAAGGCAACCTCTCCTCTTGGGACTGAAGGGGTCCCCAAGGGCCTCAGGCACTTCGGTGGAGCATGTTAGTGTGGCCTTGCCAAATGCAGTATGTGGTTAAAGGCCCACCTATCCATGGGCTCACTGTCAGTGACTGAAGACTGGGGGGGCTAGGTGAATGAGGATGGTCCCTCACCTCCCAGTTAGAAGTGAACGGAAACCCAGGTTCTGGAGTCTGAGACCAAGGTCACATCCCACTCTGGCACTGTAAGGGCTGGGTGAGGTATGGTTTCCTTATTGTGAAATGGGGCCAATAATCTGACAACTTCCAAGGATTTATAAACTGATTAAACCAGACCATCAACAGAAAGGGCTTAGCCCAGTACCTAGCACAGAAGCGTGCTCAAAAATCACTGGCAGAGAATATTTAGACAAATAACAAACGAAAGAAATCTTAACTCCTAGACTGAGTCTGAGGCAGAATTCTGAGATGGACGTGCCTTGGAGCAGGCCCATATTTTATGGCCTGAAGATTTGGTGTTCTCTGCTACTGACTTCTCATTCCTGAGTCAAGCATAAACAGTTCCATGGTTGCGAGACGCTCAAGTTAAACCAGGAGCTTAGAAAGATTTTGCTATCCCTTTATCAGAGAGAAGTCAGTAGTGGGATTACACAACCTCCTGTCTCAGAATGGAGAAGCCCCACCCTGTCCTCGCTCAAGAAAGTTCAGCCAAACACTGGGAGCTGAGCCCCAAGAGTGCACTCAGAGACCTCGGGCCTTTCCACCTTCGTATGAGAATTCTGAGTCACCCGCATTCTGGGATGGAGTTCTGGGATGGAGAGCAAGTCCTCCCCCGCAGCCCCCAGGGCTCCGTCGGGTCTTTCCATTGCAGGGCAGTCCCTAGTTACCTATCCAGCCCTGATAGATAGATAACCTCCTCTATCTCCCCTGAGTAATCTGTATTCCTGCTATACCAGAGCTCACCATTCCCGAAATCTGCCTCACACTTTGCTCACACTAAATGCCCTTGGTCCCTATCCCCACGTTCCTACTGGCAAAAAGTCTGCTCTAAGTTCCTCACAAATGCCTGTTCATCTGTGATGCCTTCCTGGAAACGTCGTGTGCAGACTGAGAGCCCTTCCTTCCCTCCTTACAGAATTTATTACAGAACATCGAATGCGGTGGGCTGTGCCCAGGTCTGCCTCCTCCACCGGCCTTTCCTTAACTTGCTGCTTGTCCCCAGCCCAGTGAGTGACTTAGCTTCACCTCTACAATTGGGGAGGACAATACCACTATTTGGTCGCATTTCTTTTCCCTGCCTTTCTGCTTCTGCTCCTGTTTTTCCTTTTTCTGCCCGACCTTAACCTTGATGGTCAGCCCACACCCATCTGCCACCAAGAAACCTCCTGGACCCTAGCTCAAATGGATACTCTCTGAACAACTCTTCCCACTCCTCCAGCCTCTGGTTTAGTACATTATCATGTGCTCTCTTAGTCCCTTTTCATTTGTATATGTCCTAGATCCAAAACAAACCACATGCCCTTTGAACTGGGGGCTTGTGGCTTGGGAATGGAAAGGCGTGAGTTTGAATCCTGCCTCAGCTGTACCCCACCCAGCTGGTAATTGTTGTATGTGTGAGGATTAAATGAAATAATGCATGTAAAGAGCCTGACACACAGAAAGCATTTAATATAGAATTACTTTATATTATACTCTGCACTGTTACTATAAATTGTACTCTTTCAAGAAGGGGGCCACAGAATTGTTATATACCAGCCTGCCCTAGCGGTTCTGATAGTCTTAGCGATCTTGCCTACTGTCTTCCCTTCACACAGACATCTAACCCTCATTGTTTTCTAAGTGTCTCTTTTCCATTAAAAGTTTCTACAACTGTATCATCTTGAATGTAGTCCTTCACATTCTTCCAAGCAGTTTTACTTTACCATCTCCCTTCTAACCTTAACATTTACTTTCCAAATGATCCCATTTAGGAAACTATGTAAAAACAGAACATGCCACCAATTTTCTCATCTTTAGCCTCAAAGCCAGAGGTGCACTGAGTGCAAAGTCAGGTTTAAGCAGGAACCGCATCCTCTACATGTAATGACTTAGCAAGGCCAATGGTCTAGAGATCTGAAAGCAGATCACTTTCTTCTCTAGCTTCCTTAAAGCAACCTCAGCAGTAATCCTATCTAACAAAGAGGGAATATGCTAACCCTCACGTCATCGCAAAGATGGCAGCACCCACAGCCAATAAGGAGGGAATATGCTAATTGACTGTCACGCCCTCAAAGATGGTGGTGCCCACAGCCACAAGATGGCCAGCAGGGGAGGGCAGTTGTGGGCGATCAGGCCAGCAGGGGAGTGCAGTTGGGGGCAACTGGGCCAGTAGGGGAGGGGAGTTGGGGGTGACTGGGCCGGCAGGGGAGCAGGGGAGGGCAGTTGGGGGCAACCGGGCTGGCAGGGAGGTCAGTTGGGGGCAATTGGGCCAGCAGGCAGAAGCGGTTAGGGGCAGTCAGGCAGGCAGACAGGCAAGCGGTTGAGAGCCAGCAGGCCCAGATTGTGAGAGAGATGTCCAACTGCTGGTTTAGGCCCGATCCTTAGGATCGGGCCTAAACCAGCAGTCATACATCCCCTGAGGAGTCCCAGATTGGAGAGGGTGCAGGCTGGGCTGAGGGACACCCCCCTCCCAGTGCACGAATTTCATTCACTGGGCCTCTAGTATTAAATAATTATGCTTATCATCACAACAAAGCTGTCTTTCAATTCTGGAAAGAATGCCCTCGTCAGTGTAGCTCAGGTGTTTGGAGCATCATCCCATACACCAAAAGGTTGCAGGTTCGATTTCTGGTCAAGGCACATATCCAGGTTGTAGATTCGATCCCTGGTCAGGATGCATGTGGGAGGTACCAGTCAATGTTTCTCGTTCACATCAATGTTTCTCTCTCTCTCTCTCTCTCTCTCTCTCTCAAATCAATTTAAAAAAATTTTTAAAATGAAAAAGTATGGCACCAGCTGCCCTGCGGAAAAGCCTGCTCTTCCCCCGTTCTTTATAGAGGAGACTCAACTTCACTCCCATCCACAGGCCAAGGGCAAATATTTGTAAAACGGCTGTTCACATTTGAGGTGTCCAAGAACCACACAAGGACTCTTTCCCAGAGGCAGACCTGTGGGGAAAATCAAGTTTTCCTAGACACAAAATCAAAAATCACCATCCTTTTTTAAGATTGAAAACAAAAATTAAACCTACAATCCATTTTCCCATTCTCATCTGGTTGATTATTAACCCAAGCAGTTAAGTTTGCCTTTAAACCATCTCTTCCTAATCTTAGGATAACCTTGCCCATCAAGCTCTCAAAATCATCTGATTGTACCAAACTCCCAGGCTAGCTCCTCTCTCTTTAGAGATGCTAATAGTATTCCAATAGGAACACTATCATCTATTCAGACCTACTGGCATAGGGTACTGCACTTGGTGTTTCATACCTGTAATTCCTTTAATCCAATTTAATATTAAAATGTAATCTGCTCTTAACAATTATATAAGGTAGGCATTATCATCTCCATTTATCACATGAAGCAAATGAAGTTCAAAGAGAGGTTAAGTAACTTTCACTACGTCTCGCCACTTGGTGATAAAGCCAGCATTCAAACACCAGGCTCTTTAATTCTGTGCGATTCTTTTTCCACCACTCTGCTCAGCCCTTCCTGAAGACAGCTTACTGACTTCTTTATTAAAGGATGGATAATCAGGATGCAAAATGGCTCTGCAGCCTTTTTCTATCACGTGAGCCAGATCTTTCAAAATGCCTACTGTCCATCATCCCAGCAATCACCTGGGTCCTTAGCAGTGTGAGACCCAGGAGCAGGAGCTCCGGAACCAGCCCTGCCCCAAGCTCACCAAACCAAGGCTGGACGGTGGACACACTTACCAGTGTGCTTCCGGCTGTGCATCTGTAAGTGAGACAGCTTAAAATATCTCTTATTGCAGCCCGGGTAAGCACACATGAAGGGGCGTTTCTCACTGGTCTCAGATGCCGAACGGACAAGAGTCGGGGCTACTCCGGGCACGCGCCGAACATCCTACAAGCAGAGCATAAGCGAATGCAGGCTTTAGCCACAGGTGAACATGCGTGCCAGGTCCCCGGGGAAAGTGAGCATTGGAATATACCCCAGGAAGGGATGGCAGAGCCGAAGCCTAAAACTGCTCCACACACCAGATGCCCACAGCAGACATCACTAACGGATGACGGATCAGTGCATTCTACAATGCAGCGCCCTGACGTCATCACTACTGACCAGCCAGAACCAGTACTTGAAGTCTGTTTGAGGTCGATAATCCAGAGTATCTGGAAAAGAAATGCTGGTGACTGGAAGAGCTCCCAGTCCAGCCTGTCTCTCATATTCTCCACTAGATACAGTGAGGTTTGGAAGCCAAAGTCCCAGATTCTATTCCATTCCCTCCCACTCAGATGCATGGCCACAACACTGGGGCCAAATATGCAATGGGTGGGAATGTCCTTATTAGAGAGGCATGCAGGATACAGACGAGCTCCAACTAACCAGACCTTCCATGTGTGAGTAAATGACAAGGAAGAGGAGCCCCTGAGATGTGGGGGTGTTGTCTGTGAAGGGGAGCTGAAACCAGAGGCTCCATGTGCAGTGCTTTAACAGTGACACCAGGAAACACTGGGTCTGCCCTCTGTGCACCATGCACATCCTTCCCAGGGCAGCATGTTGGTCCCCTTTATCTTCCGAGTGTATGTGTACGGTCAGTCCTACCTGAGAAAGAGCTAGAGGGAAACAATGAGGCAAGCTCCCCTTCATTTTCTTGGGAGACTCCCTCCTCCCCCAAACTGTTCACAGCCTCTGTCTCCCTAGGAGGCAGTATAAAGAGGTGTTTAAAAACAGGGTTTTTGGAGTCAGACAAGCCGTGTTGTATGTCTCTGCTCCACCTCTTACCAGCTATGTGGTTTTGGACAAGTCACTCATCTTCTCCAGCCTTGAGTTTCATTACCTACAAAATGGAGCTAATGATAGTACCTACCTCATAAAGGTGTGCTGAGGATTAAATGGAGGGGGAGGAGTCAATGTATAGACATGAAAGAAGCTTAAATGTGTATTACTAAGTGAAAGGAGCCACTCTGAAAAGGCTACATACTGTATGATTCCAGCTATATGACACTCTGGGAAAAGGCAAAACTATAGACAGTGAAAAGATCTGTGGTGATGGGGGCAGGAGAAGGGGAGAAGGGGGAGAGATGAGCAGGTAGAACATGGGGCATTTTTAGGCAGTGAAACTGCTTGTATGATATTGTAATGGTAGATACACGGCATTATGCATTTAGCAAAACCCACAGAACCACACAGCACAAAATGTGAACCCTAATGTGAACTATGGACTTTGGTTAACAATAATGTGTCACTATTGGCTCATCCATTGTAACAAATGCACCATACCGAAGCCAGATATTAATAAACATAGAGACTATGTCAGGGGAGAAGCAGGGGAGAGGGAAGATATGGGAACTCTCTGTACTTTCTGCACAATTTTCCCTTGAACCTAAAACATTGTTGTAAAAAAATTAAGTCTATTTAAAAAAAAAAAACAGTCCATGTATAAAACTTAGCACAATGCTTGGCATTTATAAAGTGTCCAGCCATAGGTGGTGCAGTTACTGATGTTATTGTTATTATTAGCAGCCCTTGGCAAGATAGAGTCTACCTTTGGGCACTTTACATTGCAGACCAAGTCAAAGGCAGGCCGTTAATTCAAGCCCGTTTAGCCCCAAATGCTAGTATAAGAGCTGCCTAGCCCACCATGGAGAAGGCGAATTAAACCATGAAAAGAGAAAGGATGGGATTCTACAGGAAACATCTTGGCCTGAGCCAGGGAGGCAGCCCGCTTCAAGCTGGCCTCTGTAGAGGAGGCTGCCTATCTCTCCCCTGGAAGAGGAGGGGGTCCCTGCTGCCCCAGGAGCATACAATTAGGAACAGACCTGCTAGGATCAAATGGCCATCAGCAAGGAAGTGAGAGTGTGGATGTTGAGAAGGGAAAGAGGCCATGCAGTCCACTTCCAGCCGGGGCCCGAGTACTCACCTGAATGCCCCTGAAGACACCGTGGGTGTGTATTCTGTACTGGGCGCCACAGAGGATGGGCGTGGTGTGGTTATCGCTTTCATACCCTGTGCCGTGGCTGCAAACACAAGGAAGAGAGGACAAGGCTCGGGTTGGTCCAGAGGCACCATTTGGAAATGTGCATCTGCAGCAGAGGAATGTTTTTTAAAGCTCACAGGACAACAGCTGGTTTCTGCCTCCCTCCATCGGGGCTACTTTCGAAGTAGGGTTTTGTGAAGAGCGGGGCTGCTCAATCCTGGTGTCACCACCACGCAGCCCTCCCTCACACTCAGATTCTCACAGACGCACTGCACCGTCTGGGGCTCTGCCTCTGTCAGACAAGCCGGGAACAGTCACCGTGGCAGGAGTTCATCCCCAGCACGCTGTTAACCCTCTAGATGGCAGGGCTGACAGCTGCAAGTATCTCAGGAATGAGCAGATGCCTCAAGTTCACATCAAGTGCAAGGGATGTTTGTCGGCACCTCATGACTCAGTTTTCACCAGATAGCGCCAAGAAAGTGATGACACAAGGAGAGATGTCACATCCTCAGAAGTGGGGGTGACACATCTGTGGCCCTGCTCCACTTAACCTAGAGATCAGTTTTCCAGATCAACTTAACTCTTGGCAGCCAACCCGTGCCAAAGGCGGACACCGGATAATCTTCCTCCAGCAGTAGACTGACTAGTCCCCTAGTCGACACTCAGGTTAACCGTGGACTACTAGTGAGAGCTGAGGGATGTGAAATATTGAAAAGGAATCGCTTGGAAGGGGTGGACGTTCTGCTCTAAAGGTATTCTCTCCTCCAGGAAAAAGCTGATTATCTGTTCTACAGTTATTTTACTTCCAAACGAGGCAGAGTGAGGGTGCTTATCCACGCGGGCGCACACTGCGATCACATCTAGAATCATCATGGAGAGCTTTTATGAAACACCTCTGTGAAATGGTGCAGCGGCTTTGGAAAATGCCTGGAAGGTCCTCAAAAGGTTAGACATAAAGTTCCCGTGGGGCCGGCAATTCCACGTCCAGGTATGTTCCCAGGAGAAATGAATCATATGTTTACACAAGAACCTGTGCACATTGTTTTTGAGCAGCATTTATTCATCCTGGCTAAAAAGTGGAATCAACCCAAAAGTCCATCAGCTGATGAGGAAACAAAATGCAGGACCTTCATAAAATGGAATGCTATTTGGCAATAAAAAGGAAGAAAATACTGACACCTGATAATGTGGACAAACCTTGAAAACACTGTACTAAGTGAAAGAGGCCACTCACACAGGACCACCTATTGTGTGACTCCATTTATACAAGGTGTCCAGACATAGGCAGAATTATGGTGACAGAAAGTAGATTTCGGTGGCTGGTTGCCTAGGGCTGGGGAAGCTGGAGAGAAATGGAGACTGACTGCTGAAAATGTCCTAAAACTGGGTACTAGTCACACAAGTCCGAATATACTAAAACTATTGAGTCGTATACTCCAAATGAGTGAGCTGTATGATATATGAAACCTGTAAAGCTGCTTTTAAAAAATTACCTCTGCAGAATGGGGTCCATGCACCAGCATTTTTTTGCCTCCAAGTGTAATTAACTGGCTGTCAGGGCTGAGAGCCTCCGCCCCCTGACTGTTACTCTGGAGATTCCAAGGGTCCAGGGGCAGGAGGCAGGTGGCTTGGCTGATGAGCCCGCTCCATCTGAAGGTATGGGGAACGTCTGGGGCTGGCTCAACTCTCACTCACCCAGGGAAGAGAATTCCTGGAAGGCAAGAGTGTCTGCCAGGACGCCTGACATGTCCACGTACCCTGTGGCCACAGCAGCTGTGGGGTGTCACATGTAGTTCTGGCTCCAAACTTTTAAGAAAAGATTGACTGTCTCCTTTGCACAGAGCAATGAGAGCAGTCTGGGGAGGTGGGTGGCAGTTTGCGCCCCATAATCTACTATATACACCTTGTTTCCACATCTTTCAGGTGATTTTTGACATACTTGAAGAGAAATGTCCCAAAGAGCTAAACTAGGGTCACACACGTAAAAATTGGAAGGACATGCCAAATCCAGATAGTATCTGCCTTTCTGAACCTTAGAATGTGCCTGCCAAGAAAAAGAGACCATGTCTGCGTTCCTTACAATTACATAGACAGTCGGGAAGTGAGAGTTGATGACGATGGTGATGGGGTAGCAGAAAGCGGACAGGACAAGAATGCTGCTGCCAGAACATTTTGCCTCAAAAGCTGTGAAGAGATGCTGTCTTTGCCTGCTTTAGCCTGCCTGCAGCCAAAATGTGACTTACACACTTTCCAGGGCTGAGGAATCTCTAGGGACAAAGCAACAGGAATATGAATTATTTTAGAGTTCTGCCATCAAAGGGGAAGAATTAGAACTCTCCTGTCTTGGCAGTTGATCTCTGGATGTTTCTGGGTTCCTGGAGGGTGGAAGACATGGGGAATAGACGTTACTCAGGATACTTGTCCCAGGAAATGAAGTGCTGTGTCATTCAAAGGGAATGACATGAATCTCACAGCCTGATGCAAGCCAACAAACAAAAGAAGCAACCAGCAACAAGAGTATCTGCCAAATGTGCCACTACATTCTTCTACCAGGTTCATGAATCAGAAAAAAGCTGAGCTTTGCCTATTGGCTCTTGTGTCTACAGAAGACAAACGCACAATGCAATTCCACGCTGTGGAAACCCTGCAACCCAACACTCTTCCCCATGTGGGCTGCCCAAGACACCAAGTACAACCAGTGGGCTCAATGATGACTCTCTCTAGGTAGGTAAAGGAAAGCAAGTCGGTGGTCTTGGAACCATCCACTAATAGAGGTAGGAAAGTAATCTATGCCAACCCCCATTCATAGCACCTCTAGCTCATCCTCAGCAGGTGAATAGTGACAACTATTTCAAGACAGTCCATTCTATTTTGGGAACGTTTTTATTGTTAGGAAAAGCCTTTCTAAACCAAGCCGAAATCAGTCTCCTCATTTCTGTCTCTTGAAGAACCACAGAGTGAGTCTTACTATTTTACAGGCATCTCTGTCTATCTACTATGCTCTACGGTAAAGTTGGCCTTGAAGACAGAAACCAACTTGCTTCTCTCTGTATCCTCTCGACTTAGTGTCTGACGTAAGGCACATAGTCCATAACTGCTCCACAAGATGGACCGAATCTAACTCCTCTTCCACATGACAGTCCTCCAGGTATTTGAAGGCAGCTCTCCAGGCTACAGAACTGTGGTTCTCTCAACTATTGCAACATGAAATGGTATCTAATTCCTTTACTATGTGGATCCTCCTCTTCTTGATCCCCTTCAGTTTGTTAGGTGTCTCTCAGAGTGTGGGCTTGGGGTACTCCAGACGAAAAGTTCTGTAAAGGAGTTAGGACACACACACACACACACACACACACACAGCCTTTGGAATCAAGAAAGGAACATCAATGCATAAGACTGGAGAGTACATGCCTCACCCAAAGGGGCTCCATTTCAAATTTTTCAAAATCAACATGCTAGTCACACACAGTACAGTGCATCAGGCCTACAGGCTTCCAGGGCCTGGGGCTTCCCCCCTCAATCAGGACAGAGCAGTGCTATTTACACACCTGAGAGCACATCTTCCTCGCACTCAGGTCACAGTGGTCCTCCTCAGCCAAATAATACCTCCAAACACAGCACCCACCTAGTATGAACTGCAAGCAAGGCAGGTATCTCCAATCTTGAGCTTGAAGACACGATTTTTTCAAGCTTCAATTCAGGACTACACATATATCCTTCAAATTCCATTCTGTTTCTTTCAGCAAGTCATTCCCAACTGTTGAAGTCTTTTTGACTCTTGATTTGGCTTCCAATCATTTGCTTTCATTCCTCTTTCATGTTATCTCTACATTTGAAAAGCAGCTTTTCTGTGTTTTCATAAGAGAAAAGGATCTTCCCTGCTGTTGTTGGGAATTATTGTATTTACAATATGTATAGAAGTAATAGAATTTGAGAAGGTTCTAGGGGGAAATTGGAGGGAAGACATCATAGAGAACCTAGTCATGTGTATGGGGTCCAGTCCAACAGAGCATAAACTTCTCTCTGACAGGTAAGGTACTTGTCCAGATGAATGAAAGGGAAAAGGGATTTGATGACGCCTTGGCCAACATCATCAGGGGGATCACAAGGATTTACAGTGAGGTGGAATGAGGGCAGCTGTGGTTCAGAGAAGAGCTGGTGGGTCTGGTGCTGGCAGGTGAAGGTGTGGGGAAGGAGGCTACGAGTAATGTGACTACTTCTCCCTCCTGCCACAGAGCACTGCACTAGAAATCACTTGCCAGCTTGATAAACATGCCTAAGAAGCCCCTTTGGTTTTGTTGTTTAACTAGGCACAAATCACTCATTTAAGTATTTAGCCCATAATTCCCTGTCTTGCCCACAAGGACATCAAAAGTGACTATCAAATGTCTTTTTTCAATAAAGACCCATTATATTAGGAGCCTTCCACTATGAGACAAGTAATTCTACCACAAAAAGAAATAGACCCGAACATTGTTTTGTATGTGGTTAAAATACGTTATTTCCTAATGATCATTTTCTTTCTACATGCTCCCAAAGATCTGGCCTAATAACTTTCCCAAGAATTCAAGCTAACCTCACTGCTCTTTAGTTTCCAGAATTCACTGTTGTTTTTTTCTACTTGAAAACTAAGACATTTACTTGTCTTAACTCTCTTGTCACCTCTCTTATTCTCCATGAATTTCCAGATTATTGGCCCAGGAGCAAAATTATTTTATGTCTTTGTTAAACCAATCAGAATATGGATTTGGCTCTATTTTTCTTGAAAGCAGAGCCACAAACTCAATAAACCTATAGGGGCCAAGCAAGTAAGAAAAATAAATGAAGAAGGCCCTGGAGGCAAGATGGCACTGAAATGGAGAGGACAGCCACACTGGCCGCCCATTTCCTATCCAAAGGAGGTAACCAGGACTCCACTCTATCAGCCAAGTACTGTCAATAATTATGAACCCAGTATTTCCAGATCTTTCCATTCTCCAAAAAACACACACAGAAATCTGGATTTTTATATGAGATTACCTGAGTTTTCAATTGTGGCAA